TTTGCAGAATGTCTGCCATACTCATGAAGTAAACTGGGGAGCCCTTTCCAACACAATGTCCTCTGGTATCCTGTAAACTGTGAAAACATGATGAAACAAAGCATTAGGCTGTAGGGAGACATTTCAGGAGAACCAGAAGACTTGACTTGGACAATCTGTCTAAAATAACTAGAATATCTGTGAAACTGGGAGATTAGTAACACAATACACAGACAGATACCAGAGCCTCTGAGGAATAGGGAGTGATTCAGGTAGTCCAGTGGGGTGTCCAGCTGAGTGACATTTTAACCCACTGGGTGTGTTGCCTGAGGGTACCTGGTACTTAATGTTTGATAGGAGGTCATCCTGGTGGGTTTGGATCATTTTTTTTTGTTCACACTGGATCGCCTCCATGATGTCCAATCAGTTGGGTGCTACATTGTTTGATGGTGGTATAATTGAATCTTGGTTGATCAGACAGTGTGAAGTGTCATACCTCCTGGAAAGGGCATCTGCCTTGGTGTTCTTACTGCTGGGTTGATACATGACTTTGAATGGAAATATTGTAAAGAATTTTGATACTGCTTTGATCTTTGACAGATCCATTACCCTTTGGTGACTGATGTTGTATCCCAGGAAAATAGTACTGGTTGTATGCAAACTCACATTTCTCTGCCTAAATATACATACAGCATACATTGGTTATCTTGTGACTGAGCAAGTACTGTTTTCAAATGTTGACTGTGCTGTGCCTTGGTTTGTAGATAAGGATGTTGTCTACAGTATGTAAGTGATAACACACTGGTTTAGGAAGTTACAGAAGATTTCATTTATGAAGGATTGCAAAACAGCTGGTGCACTGGCAAGACAATATGGCATGATCTGATATTCATAGTGCCCTCTAGTCGTAAGAAAGGCTGTGTTCCACTCATCTCCCTCTCTGTAAAGATGAGGTTGTATACTCTTCTGAGGTCTAAATTTATAAAAGTACAAGCCTCACTCCGCTGTTGCAGGGCAGAAGGGACTCATGGCAGTGGGTATCTGTACTTGACTGTAACTGAATTGAGGCCATAGTAATCAATGCAGGGTCTGAGGCCGCCATCTTTTTTCTCCATGAAGAAGAATCCTGCTGCAGCAGGGGACGTGGAAGGGCATATGACGCCTGAAGCTTGACATAATTCTCCATAACCTGAGTCTCAGGAAGTGATATTGGGTATACCTTGCTTTTAAGAAGAGCAACATTTGGCTTGAGTTTGATGGTGGAGTCCCGAGGCTGGTGAGGGGGATGTTGGGTTGCTTTGGCCTTGTTAAAAACCTTGTACAAAGCCTTTCATTCAGATGTTGGTGGTGCTCTTCTGATAACACCCTGGTATATCCTATTTGCACAGCTTCTGGTTGTTCTGGAGTTGAATGACTATATAATGCAATCAGTGGTGGAGAGTTTTGGGACACTTTAGATCAGGAACTTTTACTAGATAAATTATCCATCTTAACAGCAATATTGATATGTTGAGAGACGGTAGGTGTTTCATCTTTGCATGCTAGTTCAACTTGTAAATGTACAGAACTGAACAGTGTGCTCAAAGGTTGATTGTTTTCCCTAGCGGATGTGTAACAATTTGTATAGAAACATCATGATCCCAGCTGGATATTCAAACACTTATTTAATCTAGTTTAAGAAATAAACAAAATGTCTGTACCTGATTGTCCCAGATAGTGGATGTCCACTTCAATGTTTTTTTCTCAGTGAGTAGAGTTATCACAAATTAACAGTTTGTAGTTTCCAGATGGAAAACATTAGGTTGGTTGGGAAATAATCTTTGCATTGTCACAAAAACCCCTTGCATTTATCCACTGAATCAGCCAAATTTGACCAAATCGGTTCTAGTAGGTGGGAGAGATTAAATATATCGAGTAAGATGTTCATTAGCAGCATGCAGACTGGCAAGTTATTTTGACTCTGGTAGTTAAAGGCCGCTTGGAGTTGTGACACTTCCACTGGATCCAGAGATCAAGTAAGAATCTATTTTGCAAAAGAGTTTAATGTACAAATCCAAAACAGTACACAGTAAAATCCTGAGTGTTAAATTAACACTGCTCGGAGCATATATGGTCCCACTCTAAAAGAGTGTTAAAGTAACACTGAAGCAGTGTTAAAGTTAATGAGATAATTATGGGATTAATTAAGTGCTGATGAGCATTAGTGATGAACAGCTGCTGTTAACAAGCAGAATCACTGAAGAAAAGAGAAACAAGAATTACAACTGACTTCAGCCACAGACTTAGATCAAATCAACTGAAATAAAAGAAGACATTACATCTCTCAAGATCTCAGCAGAAGATGATTGAACAACTCTACCAACAGCATCACCAGCTTCATGCATTACTAACCAGTTAGACTATCTAAAACAGAAGTTCTTTATTGAGAATTCATGTTTAGATTTTTTTTTTTCACTTACCGTTTTTGTGAGTAGTGGTTGCTTTAGTTGCCTCTTGACCCTTGACTTTTTAAACTTTATATTCTTTTGTGCTGGCACAATTTTGTGTGTTAAACACATATGTGATGGGAAGGTGCTTATGGTATAATCATGTCATGTGTCTGAGTTGCTGGTTGAAATTGATGTAATACTATAGTGCTTTTATGCCTTCTATATTGTTGTAGTTATATGAGATAACAATGTGAGAAAAACCTTCTTAAACGACTTTAATAAATATGGTTCATAAAGAGGCTTCAATTATGGCACTCATAGACATGAGGAATCAGCATGTGAATCTCAGCAATGGTGACAATATATTCTGAAAATTTTTATGTGATTTTTGAACGTCACAAAACAAGGAAGTAAAAAGTCACAACAAAAAATAACAAAAATAAAAGCAAATAGAAAAAATAAAAGAAAATACTAAGACAATGCAGCTGCATAATTTATTAATGTCGCAATGCATGCTGGGAGCCGTGGATGAGTTATGATTGGTGCACCCAGAATGCAATGCAACATGAATCTGTCTGATGAGCATAACCATTGTTGAGATTCATATGCTGATTCTTGATGTCTGTGTTTCTAAACAGCACAAATGTTCTAAACTGGTATGCAAAGTGACTTTAAAGCTCTACCTATTATTTAATTGAAATACAGTTGTGATCAGCAACAATCTATATTATACATTATCACTGGTAATGTAAGCGAACCTGGCTACTACATGACAAACAATATTATTATCAAAAATATGGCCAATATAATCGAAACACTTTTTCTCTTGGTTTTTCTTGCCATAACAAATGTGTTTCATAAACACAGTTACAGCAACCAGAGACAAACTAATGTTAAAAAGTCAAGGGTGAAGAGCCGAACTAAAGCAAATGCTTATCTCCACAACGGTGACTTCAAATTGTATTATTTTCAATAAACATTAACGTCTAAATCAAAGTTTTTTTTTTTTTTTTTTTTTGTGCTCGTCATTCTCAAGCATAGAAATTCAGATTTTGGCGTGTGCTCTTTTATATGGTAATGATATTAATTAGGGGCGTTTACAAGGCGGAGAGCTGACACCAGTCAGCTGCGGGCAATTTCAAGATAATTTGCGATTTATAAATGTCACATCTGGAAGAGAGGCATGCGCACTTGTTTTTGTGCGCACATTCGTTTTCTCTGAATCGCACTTATGCACTTTTGAGAAATGATCTTAGAGCAAATTTAGGATGGTTTATACACAACATTTTATAAATGAGGCCCCTGGGGTTGGGTTAGGCGACAGAACAGGGATCTCCAACCCTGCTCCTGAAGAACTACCATCCTGGAGACTTCAGTTCCAACCCTGCTCCAACACACCTGCCTGTAATTGTCAACAAACACCTTGATTAGCTGGTTCAGGTGTGCTTGATTGGGGTTGGAGTTGAAATCTGCAGGATGGTAGCTCTTCAGGAGCAGGGTTGGAGACCCCTGCACTAGAAAATCTCATTTACCTGATATAATAACAATCCCAGACAGCAAACAGTGTCGGCCTAGATCCGGCCCCATCTGGCCCGCATGAATTTCACGCGGGCCAGATGTGGGCCGGATCTGGGCCAACCCT